TCCCAGAAGGAGCAGCCGGACCGGGTGGCTGACACGGCTGGCTCCATCCGAGCGGAGCTCCCTGCTCCCACTTTTCCACCAGGTGTCAGCCGAGGAGTTCTCTGGGAGCTGCAGCCTCGCCGGGACCGGCTCTGCTGCCAGCCCAAGGCGTTGATCAAAACTCCTCCCGGGGCGCTGTGCAATCGCCTCAAGGGAAAATCAAGCGAGGAGCCGCCTAAACGGAGGGCTGGCTCTGGCTGTGTTCCTGCTTTACACCATGTTTTTGTCTCATTGCTTTACCAGAGCAAGTGCCTCACACAGCTGGAGAGGAGGCTGTTGCTCAGGGAAGGTGTCTTCCTCATGTTTCCAGCTCAGCCCTGACCAGTCAGCACAAGTTGGGACAAAGGCAGGTGCTCCCAGCAGAGCAGTGGGAGCCAAACAGGCAAATGAGCCTCCTGGCCTTGGAAAAGAGCAGAACTCTGCGGAGTGTGGGCTGGGAGAGGCTCCCCATCCTGCCAGGAACACATCCCTGCACCACAGGGAAACATCAGCGTGTAGGAAGGGTCAGGAACACATTGCAGAGCCAGGAAAAAAAAGCACCCAAACCCTCAAATCCTTTACCTTCAAGTGTTCCTGGTCCTGTAGCTCTCCTGCCTCTGGTCAGGGTGTGTGGGCTTCCCATAAACGACAGCACTCATTAGTGCTAATGAGAGATACAATCCATGTCAGCAGGAGGGTGCTCTGCTCTCCCCAGTGTGGTGCTGGGCTCACTGCAGGCAGCTGATCTGGCTTGGCCTGGGTTCATCCCTGCAGGCAGAGGTTGGAGCTCCCACAACACTTGACCAGAAATCCAGCCTGGACCCACAGGACCCCATCCAACACCTCCACCTGGAGGCCTTTGGCTGCTGGATTTACTTCTCAGAGAGGCTACCTGGGAGCAAATCAAGAGCCCAGGGAAGTTCTCCAGCTTTATCCCTCCCCACATCCTGTGGAGGGGGGTTTGGCCACCAGCAGGTGCCTGGAGACGAGCCCCCGCCCCTCATTCTCACACTCTTCCATGCAAAGTCCCGTCAGGCAGGACCATCCATGCCCTGCCAAAGCTGGAGCCTCCCAGAGACCCTGATGGCTCATCATATACTCCTGTCTTTGCATGACACAAGACACACTCCTCACAAGCTCCTCCCAGATGACAGAGGAAGGGGTGAGACACCCTCCTTGCTCTGGGATGTTACTGGGCTGAGTGCCAGAGGAGCTCCTTGAGCAACGCCAGCACCTTCCAAACCCATTCTCAGACAGAGCACCCCTAAAGGGCTGTTTTCTCTTCCCGAGACCGGGCTCTGACGACTGTGAGCGCAGCACGTTCAGGAGGGGAGGGCACTGAGCTGGTGGAGGCCTCTTGCCACGTGGGCACCTCCTTTGGCTCCGCGTGTGCCGCTTGGCAGGCCCTGGCACGCCCGGGTGGCTCAGCCCACGCGAGGGAGATGGTACCCTGGCAGCCTGGCAGAGGCTTCAAAGGCTGCAGGGTGTCCTCAGCCACCCCGAGCCCTGCAACCCCAACCGCAGGTTCTGCCGCTGGCACCCACGGGCACCGATCCTCCAGTGCCAGAGAGGTGGATGTGGCATCACCTAATGCCCCCTCTCTGCCAGAGATCCCAGCACGGAGTGGGATTGCAGCCAGTACACCCTGAGTAAGCTGTGCTTCATCTCCCAGTGCACTCCCAACACCAGGACGAGCTCTCCAGGAACAAGCTGATCCTTCACTGTGCTCTGACAAGATGGACAAGGCCCCAGAGGAGCAGGTTCACATTCTGTTTTGCTTTGACAGCTTAAATGTCATAACACCATTGCAAACCCAACCATGGCATATGTTAACTTACAGAGTTCATTAATCTCACCCCAAAAGCACCGGTAATAAAATTAAATATGTCATAAGGTTGTTATTTGGCTGCTGCACTGCAGGAACCCAGCACAGCCCCCTCCCTCCTGCTGCGAGATGTAGCTGGATGGTGAGCGTGGAGGCCTGAGCAGAGAGGGGGGTGCCCTGTTCCCTGCCCACCCCTCAGCACGGTCCTAGTCCTCCCCAGGGCCCTGCCTGGCTCTCCAGACCCATAGCAAGGAGATTCCTTCCCCACCTAGATTCCCGGGAAAGGGACTTGGGAATTGATAGGAGCAGTGTGCATTTCCCTGAGGTCTTGGTGGGAGCTGGGCTTCTGGAGAAGAACTGGTCCGTCGTTGGCTGGGAAAGAGCTCTGCTCACACACTCCTGTCTCTGTGCTCCCACTGCTCTGCTTGGTTGGTATTTTTGTTGCTGACCCCCAGGAGCAGAGGTTGCTGCCTCAAGCCCCTCACATGCTCCTGGAAGTGCCAACACACACGTTGATCTCCTGGGAAGGAGCTCTGGGACCTTTGTTACAAAACCAGTTTTTCAGAGATTTCTGGCTTGGGTGCAAACACAACGAGTGGTCCCTGGGTGGGGACCTGGCCCAGATCCACAGAAAATGCTCCCCATAGCAGGGGGGCAAGGGGGCAGCTCTCGTGTTGAGGACCTCAGCAGGATCATGTCACTGTCAGCAAACACAAAGGACCTTTGGCAGAACAAAACACAAGCACAGCTGGATAAAGAGCAGGTAGTGGGGAGCTACGTTTGAGTGTCCTGTGCTCAGGTGACCCCAGCAACTGCTCTGGCCAGGCTGAACCAGTAGCAGAACCAGGCAGCTGCTGGGACATCGTGTGTGCAGCCCCCCGTGTAACAGTCCTGGGCCCTGCCTGGGGCCTTGGGACAGCAGGTTAAAGTGAGTAATTGTCACCACAGGTGGCTTAAGAGGTGCCTCCTGCCATGGGAGACCCAGGGGTTTGGTTTGCCCTCATCACCAGGTGGGTGCTGTACAGAGGGGCTGGGGCAGGGAGGGACTTGGTCATCTTGCAAGTACTATTTGGGTGCTCTCAGGTCCCTGTCTCCTTCCTGGGCACCGCTGCCCTGGGCTGGGGAGGGTGAGACCCCCTGGCAGCCCTACAGCCCCGCAGCTCCCAGCTCCTCACCCCAGCCCACCGTGTCGCCACGAGCCCGGTTTGCCCAGCGTGTTCTGTGGGTGGCAGTGGGGCAGCTTTGCCTTTTGTTTTTCCTTCCCTTTGTCTGTGAGTGTTGCAGGTTTCCTCTGCTCTGTCTCATTCTTGGGTGGAAACACGATTTCCCTCTGAGCTGCTGCCAGGGACCATCCTCCTGCTCACCCACGGTCCCACAAAGGTCGGCTCACAGCCCTTCCCGCCTGGATTTTGCACAGTTTCACCTCTTTCAGATGAATAAAGACTCAGCATTATACGGACTAGATGAGTGAGGGATGTTAAGAATGAACTGGAACATAACTGCAAAATACAGCATATCCAATCCAATTTTTCCTAGCAAATGAAACGGATCTGGTGGAAAATAAATACAGAACTTCCAGGAGCAGCGTCCTTGAAGAGCATTTGAGGGGGATGAAGAGATTTGAATGGATCAACCCTCTACACCTCTGCACATCCCTCCTCCCTCCCTTAAATGCCATCTTTAACAGAAATAAATTAGAATAAACGATCAGCTCTTGCCTCCTAAAGACAGGTGGCAGGGTAATATTAAAAGAAATGAATAAAAATTCATTTAATGAGCATTGTTAATTAAACCTGGAAATCAAAGAGGTCTGAGTTGTGGGAATTCAGAGGAAAAATGAAAATGAAGGGAGCTGTAGCTCGGGGCGGGAAGAGTGGAATTAAATTAACTGCAGTGTGGGGTTGTGTTTGTTGATGTCGATCACACGGCACAGCGTGTTACAGCTGCGGGTGAAGGGTTTGTGCTCTGCTTCACCCAAAACCCGCTGCCAGTGGAACCTCCCGCCCAGCCACGGGCGCCCCGCGGGTGGCACGGTGAGACCGCGGGGACCCGCCACCCCACAGCCCGGCCACGGCGCCCGTGGGCTGCGGGGAGCTGTGACCGTGGGTGTCCGAGCGCCGCGAGTGTGTGTCGGGGTGTGAGAGTGGGCGAGTGTGCCCGTGCGGGTGGGCATCCCCGCGCAGGGCCGTGCGGGGCACCACCGCCCCGCCGTGGGGCCGTGGGGACACGCCTGCGTGGGCGTAATATGGCGGGGGGAATAGGTTGTCATTGGGGTCACTCTGTGCCGCTGCGGGGCCTCCTCGTCCCCCCGGTTCGCCCCGCCGGTGCTCCGTGCCCAGTGCCGCGAGCAGGGACCCGATGCTGCGGGCCCGCCTCGCCCTGCCCTGCCCCGGAGGGAGGGCCCAAAAGCGAGGGAGGGATGGAGAGGAGGAGGGAGGGATGGTGGAGGGCGGGGAGGCAGGAACGCTGCCCGTCGGTGCTCCCCGGTTTCCCCTGGCTCTGTCGCAGCCGGTGCCCGCCCTCGGGTAGGGAGCCAGGCCCGGAGCACCCCCAGACACTTCTCTCTCTCCCCAGTCCGGGCTGCGGCTCTCTCTCCTCGTCGGGGGAGGTCTCAGCTGCCGCCGGGGCCATCGGTGCGCTCCCGGCCGGGGCCCTGCTCCCGGCTCGGGCTAATAAAGTCAAACCGTAGAGCATCGCCACCGCCCCACACCCCGCCCGCACCCCCGGACTCTCCCGACCCTGGGGGCTCGGTCCTGGGGCGGCCTGGGGCTCTCCGGGACAGGGCTCTCAGTCGGCGCGGCCCGGGGCGGGGGGCCCGGGGGTGGCATCGGGGGAAGGGTGTGCGGTACCGCGCGGCGCGGGAGCGGTGCGGGGAGCGGGGCCGCCCGACGGCGCGGGGGTAGCACCGGCTGCGCTCCCAGGGGGCGGCGGGCGCCCCTCGCCCCCCGCCCCGGCCGCGTCCCGCCGCCGTCCCGCTGTCGGGAGCCGTCGGGGCCCCGCGGGAGCGGGCGGCGCGTCCCCGTCCCCGCGCTCTGACGCGCGCTCCCGGGGCGGCGGGCGCGCCCCCGCCGCTATAACTGGCGTGCATGGAGTCGGGACCGGCGCAGAGGAGCGGGCGGGCGATGGGAGACGTCGCTTCGGCGGGATAGAGGGGCGGAGACGGGGGCACCCCCGGGGCCCGGCCCGCCCGGGGCTCGCCGCGGGCCCGCACCGATGCTTGTGCACAGCTACCCGGGCATGGTGAGTGCGGGACGGGCGCGGGCTGGGCGGGACGGGACGGGACGGGCTGGGATGGGACGGGGGGTCGGGGGTCCGTGCTCACCTCGCCTCACCGCCGCTGTCTCCGCCGCCGCAGGACCGCACCGAGGGGCTACCCGGGGCGCCGGCCGGGGCCCGCCTGCCGCAGCTGCCCTCGCTCAACCAGGCGCCCTACGGTTCGGCGCCGCCGCTCTGCCACACGCCCGCCGCCGACTTCCAGCCGCCCTACTTCCCCCCGCCGTACCCGCAGCCGCCGCTGCCCTACCCGCAGGGCCAGGAGCCCGGCTACCCGCACCTGGCGGACCCGTACGCGGCGCTCAGCCCGCTGCACCAGCACCAGCAGCCGGCCTGGCCCCCCCAGCGCGGCCGGCAGGACGAGCCGGGGCTACTCTCGCAGACCCACCGAGCCCTGGGGCTCGACCCCCGCCGCGAGTATCCCGCCGTGCCCCGTCTGCTCCACGGGCTGCCCGACGGCAGCCACGGCCTCGCCGACGGCCCGCTGGGCCTCCACGGCCTCGGCCACCACGGCATCGAGGATATCCAGGTACGGGGGGACGGCGGGAGCGCCGGGAGGGTGCCCGGGGGCTGGGGGGGGAACGACCGATCCCACCGCCTGTGTGCCCGGGGGCTCCCGGCCGGGACAGGTCGAGCCCCGCGGCGTCCGTACCCCCGGGCAAGCAGGGCCGCCAAGCTGGCATCCCCGTTACCGGGGCTCGTTCGTACCACGACGATTCCTCCTGGCCGGGGGCAGCGAGAGCACCGGGCCGAGGCCGCACTGTCCCGGTGCCCGCCCGCCCCGGGAGCCGCCGGCTGACGGCTCTTTCCTCGGTGCTTTCAGGCCGTGGACGACGGCGGGATGAACCTTCTCGATCAGTCCGTGATCAAGAAAGGTAAGACCGCGGCGGCTCCGCGGGACGAGCCACCGGGCCAGGCTCCGCGCCCGTTCCTGCCCTCGGGGCTCCCCCGCGTCGGGTTCCCCCCGTGACCGCCGTCCCGCCAGGCCGCCCCCCGCCCGTCGGGAAGGACTCGCTGCCGTTCCCGGCGAGACTGAAACGAAAGCGGCGGGTCCCGGCGGGCCAGCGCGCCCACCCGCCCCCGGCCCGCGGCGCTCCCCGGGGCGGTACCGCGGCCGCCGCTCCTTCGCGGTACCGGGGGCGGAGGGACCCGGACGGGCGGATCCGGTTGTCGCGGAGCCCCGGGGCCCTCCCCGCCGGCGGCCGCTGACGGTTTGCACGGGAAGCCCCGGGGATGCCCTGGCGGGGCTTGGAGCAGCTCCCGGTCCCGCCACCCTCGGCCGCAGCCCCGCGCCCGGCGGCGGGGGAGGCAGCGCGGGCCGCGCACCGCTTCGCACAGCCCCGGGCCGCGGGGATCGGGCCCGTTCGGCGGGGCTTCTGCTGGGGGAAAGACGCGTTTAACGGGGGCGAGGAGGTGGTGCAGCCGTGGGGGCCGGTGCTGCCCGTCCCTGTAGACGGGAGCGTCCCGCAGCCCCCCAGGCGGTCGCCCCCCACCTCGGCAAAGCCAGGCCTACGGAGACCCCCCCGTCTGCAACTCCAGAAACGGGGCTTCCCTCTGGGACCGGCGGGGGGAACAGCTTCTCCCTCCGGGACCAGCGGGACTGGGGCAGGGGGCCCGCATGGCCTTCGGGGTCTCCCATCTACAGTTCTCCCCCGCACGCTGAGCGGCCCCTCCGCTTCCCAGCCAACCCGTGGGTAGAACAGCTCAACTCCCTAAAATATTTTTGTACTGAACCCTCCGCCGGGGTGTTGCGGGAACGGGGTCTGGGCCGGGAGCGATCCGTGCGGTGCTCGGGGCGACCCCTCCTATGGAATATTCCAGCGCTGCTCTTGGCTTCTCCCCGCGATTTTTTACAGAAATGTGGGGATGGGAAGGACGCGTTGAATCGCCGCCGCCGGGCCGGGTCCGGTAACGCGGGCCCGGCGGGGGCCGCAGCCCCGCAGTCCCGGTGCCGGTCCCGGCCGCAGCCGAACCCCCGGTGACTGCCCGGCCTCGGCGACCCGGGAAAAATATCCCAATCGTGCGACTCTTCCCCCGCCGCCACCGATCGTTTCACGGGGGGAGCGGCGCTCCCGCTTCGCCGCAGCCCCTTTTCCCTGGAAATGGCTGTTCTAGGAACACGCGTCTGCCAGCGGGGCATTAATGACCCGCATTAATTGAGCTTTAATCAGAACGCAGGAGAGGCGTTTCATCAAACCCCCGGGAGAGAGGAACGCTCGCGACGAGCTGCGGGGTGCGTGGGCCGGGAGCGGCCGCTCCTCCACGGCCTGGGCCGGGCAGCAGCACCCAGGAGCCCTCGGGAAACACCCCGCAGTGCCAATATTTGTCTGGAAGTTCGGTTGGAGTTACAGTGGTTTGTTGGGGTTTTCCCCTCCTTTTTCCAAACGCGCCATTAGTTAGAATTTTTCTTCTCCTGTCGAGGGGATTTGTTGTTGTTTAGCGCCAGGTTTGTGCCTAGGGATTCTCCAGTCCTGTAGTCTTGGAAAGAAGGAAAAAAAAAAAAGGAAAAATAAAATTTAAATATCCCTGGATGAAGGCGGGCACGGTGGGAGCAGGTCGCCCGCATCCCCCGTGCCCACGGACAGTTGCTCTTCTCACGCCGGTTCTCGTTTGGTTTTTTTCTTTCTTCCTTTTTTTTTTTTAATATGTATATTTCCCCCTTCCTTATTTTTTCCCCTTTAAAATTATTTTTACTGTTGTCGTTTTGTTTGGCGGTTTTTAAATTATTTTTTTTCTATTACTTTTGCTGTGTTTGGAGCGCGAAGCCGGAGAAATAGATAAATCCAAAGCCAGGCGGGTGTTTGCAGGGGGACGCGAGCGATTACCCCGGGAGGGGCGGGACGGAGGCACCGGGGGTTCCTCGGGGCAGCGGCAGCACCGTGGGCTCTGTCCCGGCACCGCTCCAGGGCTCCAGTCCTCGTTCGCCCGTATTTCGGTGGCCGCTCTCCTTCCCTACCCCTGGAAATCCCAAAACCGGCGAGTTCGGCTCACAAGAAAGCTGAGGAATTATAGAAGCTGCAGCTGGGAATGCCCGATCAAACGCCGCTGCTCTCTGCTCAGCCTGGGGAACAAATTCCTTTATTTTCGGCTTTATTTAATTTTTTAAAATATACAGTACGTGGTCGTTCTTACTCCTCTGGCTCTTCCGGCTTTGAGCTCTGTCCTGGAGCCCCAACGGGGCCGAGCCCGGGGCCCCGCGGGTGAATGACACCCCAGGAAAAAATACAATTAAATTAAAACCATCGGAGAGTCCTGGGCTGTGCAGGAGAGGGCGGGTGGGCAGCGAGACTCGGGGACCTCCTCTCTGCAAGGAGTGAGGGTAAACCCTAAAAAGCGCAGTTTTGTCCTAAATCGCGTCGAGATCTCAAATACCGATTAATCCTGGAATTCCTGACGGAACGGCCGTCGGACAGAAACCTGATAGAAATCTGTGCCTGTGAAAACAGATACATCTCTCCGTAATTAGTTGCCGAGATACTGTTGTCCTGGTTCAACAAAATATTAATCACCTTCCCCAAATCCCCAAATCCCCCTTCAACTCCCGTCCTTATAGGCGAGTTTAGTCAGGAACAGCCCGGGACGGGAGGGAAGCGGCCGCAGCCCCGCGCTGCCCCCGCAGCCGCTCCCGTCCCGTATCCCGGGGCTCCAGGACCGTCCCCTCACGGAGGGTCCCTGCCGGTGTCCCCCCGCACCGACGGGCCCCGCCGCGGGTGGGGAAGGACCCGCCCGGAGCCTCGGAGCGTGTTGCGGGAGCATCCCTGGCTGCGCGTCTCTTTTCCCCCCTTTTCTTTCTTAAATAAACTTCCACGGTTCCAGCCGTTAATATAATTCCAGGGATTTTGTGGGGATCTCAGAGACGCGGTGCGCTGACAGCCCCCCCCCGCCGGGGTGTTTTCCCGAGCGCTCCTGGCTGCAGGTAACCCGGACTTTAGGAAGCAGCGTGGGGAGAGAACAAGGGATATTCGCCCCACCACGGGCTCGGGGACTCCCCCCGGGGTCCCCGACCCGCAGCCCCGGCAGTGACTGAGCAGCGCCCAGAGCCGGGTCCCGGCGGCGGGGACAGCCCGGGGAGGCAGATCCCGGCTGGAAACAGGCGCTCAAAGCTCCATTTCCACCCTTGCCCTCGGGACCGGCTCCGTTTCGTTATCCCCGTGGACGTCCCCTGGGGTGAAGGGTGATGTGCGGTGTCCGGGTCGGTTGCGGGGTGAGGTGTGCGAGGGAGGCAGAGCCGGGAATTCGCTTGGAGCGGGGAGAGATGCGACAGAAAAATGGAGGATGAGTTCTGCCCGTGCTGTCGCGACAAATAGGGGCTAGATCTAGCTCGAGAATTAAATGGATAAAATCTTGGATAGGGCAGCAGAGCCTTTATGAATATCTCGTACCTACGTTTGTTTGTTCTCCCTCTTTTCCAAAAGTATTTCAGAAGTATTTGTGTCCTTTTGTTGTTGTTGTTGTTGTTTCGTTTGTGTGGTTTTATTATTACTGTTAGTATTAATTTATTTTTTCCTCCCAAGAGTTTTTATAAGACCAGGGAGATATTTGACTTGAAAACATTAAAATTAACTCTGAAAAAGTTTAGTCCAGGGCTCTGGCTGCTTTAGGTTACGGCAGCTCAGGCATTTTCTACTCCATTCACCTGCTTCCCTGGTGTTTAGTTGCCCAGGTCAGCTACTGAGGTCCAGCTGTGAGACCCCCCAGACATAAAATTGGAGGCCCAAAGAGCCCCGAGCTCCTGGTGCGGGTCCTTCCCTCAGCTGGGCGAGGAGAGCGTGACTTTCTGGTTATGAAATCAAGCGTTAGGCCCCTGCACTCAGCAGCAAAAAATCCTGCAGCTTGGTTGTAAAATAAGGAGGGGTTTTATTGCTTTCACATCCTTTCGGGATCAGCAGAAAGCTTCTCAGAGAGCCTTTTTATTACAAAGAAAAATATAAATCTCTTTCCCTGGCACCCGGAGACACGCTGGGGTGCAGGAGCAGCCGGGGGTCCTGCCAGTGGTGGGTCAGAGAGAACCAGGGCCCTGTGGCAGCGGGAGAGGGGTGAGCCACGGGGGCCTGAGCACCCGCTCGCGGGCACGAGTTTTGGCTGTGGCATTTTACAACCTGGAGTAGAGACAGAGCAGGGTGGAACCAGCGTGGGCTCACGCTGGCACCCTGGCACGCACGGCACTCATCCCCAGGCTTCATGGTGGGGCAGCAGGACCTGGTCCTGCCCCTGTGCCTGTGTTTGTGGGTCTGGTCCTACCCCTGTCCCCTGTGTTTGTGGGTCTGGTCCTACCCCTGTCCCCTGTGTTTGTGGGTCTGGTCCTACACCTGTGCCCTGTGTTTGTGGGTCTGGTCCTGCCCCTGTGCCCTGTGTTTGTGGGTCTGGTCCTACCCCTGTCCCCTGTGTTTGTGGGTCTGGTCCTGCCCCTGTGCCCTGTGTTTGTGGGTCTGGTCCTGCCCCTGTCCCCTGTGTTTATGGGTCTGGCCGCTGCCGCTCTCCCTCATGTTTGTGGAAATCGTTCCGATTTCCACCCGAGGCTTTCGAGCTGCTCCGAGTGGCAGTGCTAGCTGTTTCTGCTCAGGAATGTGGACCTGTTTGGCTGGATGCTGGACAGACGGATGGAAAGCTGTGCCTCAGAGCCCACAGTCAAGAATATTGCAAGAAGTAGCTGTCACTACTAAGGAATGCGGCAGAGGAGGGAGATTAAGACCGAAATCCTTAGATCCACTCGCCACCGCACGCGAGCTCCAGGTTTTGATGCAAAGTCTCCCCATGGGCTCCGTGTGCTGGTGGGACCAGGGCACTGGTGTGGTGGCAGAGGTGCCATTTCTCCTTTGTTTCGGTGCAGGGAGGAACTGAGCTGTAAGAAATGTAAGAAACCAGATGTGGCAGA